TAAATATATTTGGAAATGTGAGCATCTACAAAAGATTACAGGAATTCATATTTTTTTATTGTATTGGTAGCAAATGAAATAAATTCTATCATGTTTGTAATATGGCATGGAGAAATCAGATTTTTCCACTAGAAAGAGAAATAAAAAACCTATTCCCCCTTTCTAGTGCAAGAAGTTCTGCTTACTTGTTGTTAAAAGAAGGAGAGAACTGAAGTTTCCAATCATTATTGACATTTTATAAGACTGCGCTGGATTAATTTGGTATTTGTGAAGAGGTGTTCTACTTTATATCCCTTCATGATCAGCATGCAAATTCAAAGCTATCTGATCTCATCAAGGGGAAAACTTGGCTAGCTGACATCCCACTGAGCATCTGATGTAATTGCAAGGATTTGGATGATCGTCGGCAGACTCTAGATCAAAGAGAAACCGCTGGCTCTCTTTCCCCATTGAAGCTTCTACTGCTTATGCACTCCTTTCTTATCACCGTCCCTCTCTTCTTGGGTCATATAAAATGTTTTTACTCTTAAATGCTTCTTCCTGGAAGTAGGGAAGACCTAAAGATCTTCAGAAGCTTTACCTAAGTAGGTGCCATCAAACAGTGAAGAAAGTGTAGATCTTTAGAAATGATACCTATGTGGATCATTCAGAGAATGTATTTATATATTTCAGATACTTGTATAGCGCCATCGATTTACGTATCGCTTTTCATATATATATATTTGTACATTCACATCAGTCCCTAACCCTCAAGGGGCATACAATCTAAGGTCCCTAACTCACATTCATACATACATATACTAGGGCCAATTTAGACAGGAGCCAATTAATCTACCAGCATGTCTTTGGAGTGTGGCAGGAAACCAGAGTACCCAGAGGAAACCCATACAGGCAAAGGGAGAACATGCAGACTCCAGGCAGATAGTGCCATGGTTGGGATTCGAACCAACAACCCTAGTACTGCCAGGTGGAAGTGCTAACCATTTAGCCACTGTGCTGCCCATGTATGACTGTACACAGTGCAGGAATTGATGCCAAAGTCTATGTCCATTCAGGTGCCATCATAAAGGTGGTGGTGGCTGGCTGTATAAGCCAAACATGAAGGACCCAGCCATATATTATATATATATATATATATATATATATAACTGTGGTAAATGTGATTTATATTGTGGAGGCTTTTCAGGATCTTGAACTTCTAATCTTGTATGCATTGGGGTTGATTTACTAATGGTGTATAGGTTGTTCACTTAGCAATGGAAGTTTTCACTTTGCAAGGGAATTTTTTCCTTAGTTTAGTGAATGGGGTGAAGCTGTGCTGACTAGTATCGTCTAACCGTGCAAGCAAAAATCCTGTTTTTATTTAATTTCCTTCTATTCTTTGCAAAGTGATTTTTTACCACAATTACTAAGCTAAACGATGATTAACTTTGCAAATGTAAATTCATGTTGCAAAATGAATAAGCTCTACTCCTTTAGTAAATCAACCCCACTGAATCTTTAAGCACTCAACTGATTTCAAATAGCAAATCTTAGATCATTTGATTAGAGCCACGTGTAATTTCAGACATGTGGCCCATTTTTAACTTTTAGATCATTAAAAGAGTATCTTTTTTTTGAAGATTTAAGGTCTCTTCCATTCAAACTCAATAGGAAAATGCGAGGGTTGCATACTGTATATGAAATCTGCTTTACTTTCAGATCTGAGCATAACTCTCAAGTAGATTTTACAGGTGTTGCAGTCTCTACATTTAATGCTACTCTGCAAGTCCAAAGAAATTCTTTAATCTCTTGTAGTGTCAGTATACAGTGCCTTGAAAAAGTATTCATACCCCTTGAAACTTTCCACATTTTGTCATGTTACAGCCAAAAACGTAAATGTATTTTATTGGGATTTTATGTGATAGACCAACACAAAGTGGCACATAATTGTGAAGTGGAAGGAAAATGATAAAAGGTTTTCCACAATTTTTACAAACAAATATCTGAAAAGTGTCAATGTAGCTGTAGCTTTTCAACATAGCTCAAGCTCTCTCAGATTGGATTGAGAGTGTCTGTGAACAGTAATTTTCAATTGGATTTAGGTCTGAACATTGACTGGGCCATTCTGACACATGAATATGCTTTGATAAAACCATTCTATTGTAGCTCTGGCTGTATGTTTAGGGTTGTTGTTCTGTTGGAAGGTGAACCTCTGCCGCTGTCTCAAGTCTTCATGATGCTATTTGTTCACTAATGTTCTCTAACAAACCACTGAGGGCTTCACAGAACAGGTGCATTTATACTGAGATTAAATTACACAGAGGTGGACTCTATTTACTAATTAGGTGACTTCTGAAGGCAATTGGTTCTACTAGATTTTAGTTAGGGGTATCAGAGTAAAGGGGGCTGAATACAAATGCACGCCACACTTTTCAGATATTTATTTGTAAAAAATGTTGAAAACCATTTATCATTTTCTTTCCACTTCACAATTATGTGCCACTTTGTGTTGATCTATCACATACAATTTCAATAAAACACATGTACATTTTTGGTTGTAAAATGGCAAAATGTGGAAAATTTCAAGGGGTTTGAATACTTTTTTAAGGCACTGTAATGAGTCTTTTCCACAGTGCAAAGGAGCCTGGAGCATAATCTCTGCTTCCTCTTGTTCTTCCTCGAATCTTATATGTCTTAAGGTAGAACTAAACTCTGTAGTGAGCACAGGGCCCACTGGAGGATGTCGGGCCCTCAGCTCACCCTCATGAAGTCTGTTTCTGATTGTTTGGTCACAGACATTCACACCAGTGGCCTGCTGCAGGTCATTTGTAGGGCTCTGGCAGTGCTCATCCTATTCCTCCTTGCACAAAGGAGCAGATACCGGTCCTGCTGAAGTGTTAAGGACCTTCTATGACCCTGTTCAGCTCTCCTAGAGTAACTGCCTGTCCCTTGGAATATCCTCCATGCTCTTGAGACTGTGCTGGGAGATACAGCAAACCTTCTGGCAATGGTATGTATTGATGTGCCATCCTGGAGGAGCTGGATTGTCTGTGCAACCTCTGTACGGTCCAGGTATTGCTTCATGCTACCAGTAGGGACACTGAACCTAGCCAAATGCAAAATTGGTGAAAAACAGTCAGAAAAGATGCGTAGAGAGAAAAATGTCAGTGGCCTCCACCTGTAAAACCATTACTGTTTTGGGGGTCATCTCATTGTTGTCCATCCAATGCACCTGTTGTTAATTTTATTAATATCAAAACAGCTAAAACTGATTAACAACCCATTCTGTCACTTAAAGCGGAGTTCCACCTAAAAAAATACAGACACTTTTCTGTCCCTCGGTCCAGCGGTGTCTTCACCACTGCTGGTTTCACCAGCCGTATTCTCTCTCTGGCACCGGCATCTTCAGTGTGGGCACCCAGCTGTGACAGCTTGAGGCTACACAGCCAGGTACCCACTGCGCATGAGCGAGAAGTGGTGCGTTTTGTGAATGACCCTGTGTCTTCTGGGACCTGTCACGTGTCCCAGAAGACTACGGGGAGGGAGGGGGGAGGACAACTTCCGCTTCTGACCGCCTAGGCGATTGCAGCGGAAGTGGGAGCGGGTACCTATCAAATTCGGGTACCCGCTCCCCAAAGGTGCCAATCCTTAATGGGGAGTGGGGGACAAAGACTTAAAATGGAACTTCCCCTTTTGGATGGAGCTCCGCTTTAACTGACAAGATCAATATCCCAGGAGATTAATTGACTTGATGCTATACTCTTAAAAAAAACACTTAAAAAGTGTTTCTTTAATTAATTTGAGCAGTGTATAAATGACAATTAGCCTTACTGGTTACTCATATAAGAGGCAGAAATTGTTCGTTGTTCAAGAAACCCCAAGCAAGCTCTGGAGGTACCCTGGTTGAGAAAGGCTGTCTTAGAACATGAAGTGGCTGTAGATACACCTTGCTGATATGATTTTGAAACCAGGCTGCATAAAAGAGGGATAAAACTTTTTGACTTTACAGCAACATACGCAAAAACAATAGAGAAAGCTGTTACATAATACTTATTTTAATTTTCTGTTCCTAACGTAATCTCAAGTCAGCATACAGTGGGACAGCTCTGTCCCCTTGACCCCACAGGACAACCTTCTATCCAAGAAATAAAGGTTTTGTTGGTTTCCATCAGCTTTCAACCACAAACATTTCTTGGTTTCAAACAACCAAACAATACAAATTGAGGTGGAAAATACCTCCTAAAATGTAATTTTAATAATTTGGTCACTAGGAAATCATTCTTTGAAAGCTACCCATGTAGCAGAAAACTGTCAGCATAACGATGTTCTAACAAATGTTAGATACTATGCTGATACAGTTCCACATCAGTTCTTTATGGTTGGGCAATTTGTTATGGGCCACAGAACCTGGATGTGTTTTGGCAAATCAAGGACTGCTTACAAGAACAAATACGGTCTGTACTTGAATTTTAATAAATATTAATGAATAAAATAAACTATATTTAGAACATTTATTTATTTATTTTAATTTGAAGCACATTTTTTTTATATATGAATCTATTTCAGAAAGATAATACAGGAGCTGAGACTTTCACCACCTATAACCACTGAAAACCTGCACTTGTAAAGCACAGAATGACCATGGGTTCAAGTCAAGTTGTTTAACATCGATATGTGACAATTTTTTTACATCAAGATAAAAATTGCCTTTTTTATTCTCTATACTTTTTGTATTTTTAATACCTTACAACAAACAATATACAGCATCATTTTTCAACTAGGATTGATATATTACTGCAGAATATATAATAATCAAATGAACAGATTACTAATACAAAAAAAATCAATTATTAACAGGAACATGACAATCAACGTATCTTACTAAAAGAAACAATAAACTAACAAATAAAAAAACTGGTAACACATGAAAAAAGAAGACAACTCAAATATACCCTTCTGCATAATCTTTAATGGTTAAAGAAACTTTGGACATAAAGTAAACCACGTTCAGGATCAATATGGAACTAAGCAGACGAAACAGATCGTTACTTTCTGTGATCCTGAATCTGCTGGCTCTAAGCTTCTCCGTGACAGCCTTTTTTACCAGTTACTGGTGCGAAGGGACACACAAAGTGGTGAAGCCACCTTGTCTATCAGCTGTGAAGAAAAAGAACTGCCAAGTGCTGACAATAAATAGCACCACCACAAACAGCGATGTAACTGATGTCAATGGAACGATGGATCAGAATGCTGTTCACTATAACTGGGAGACAGGAGATGACAAGTTTGCCTTCAAGTATTTTCACACCGGTTTTTGGTTCTCTTGTGAAAAACACCTGGGAGGTAAGTAAAGAACCATTTCACATTGTAATGTTTAAAGCTGAACTACAGGCAAGCAACTAAATACACAGTTGAAATAGATAATTGGGAACTGTAATAATTGGTTGGAAGTTCTGTGGAGCCAGATACCGCTGCCAGACAGCATAGCCTTATCCCAACTCTTCTGCAGCAGAAGAGCAGCTAGGTCAAAATCACTGGTTCAAAACAGACCTCAAACCCGTTGATAGGACAGTAAGAGCTAGTTTACACTGGTGTTGCCCTCTGAAGAGCAATCCACAGTGGAATGCTTTTCAGAGGGTGTTTGACAGGTTGGTGAGGAGATGTTATGTTGTCTCCTCACTGCCTGTCTTAACCCCTAAAAACCATAGCACCACACCACAACTGGTTGCCCCATTCAGCTGAAAATCGCATTCAGTCGGCTATACTGGAAGCAAGACAGGAGGATAATTTTATTTACTTTGCAGCTTAACGTGGTATTGAAAGAGAAGTATGGCCAAAGCTCTTTTGACCACACTTCTCATATGGGTCACAGGAGTGCACATACGTGTGCTCTCCTGTAATCCAGAACCAGCTGACAGTAGGTTAAAGCCCACTGTTGGTTGATCTCTCAGATCTGCTCCAGACTCTGGAGGGATCCCAACAATAATGTCCACCCAGATGCCTTACAGACAGTTGGCTCAGCCTCTTGGCATGCTGAATCAGCTGTTCACACCCTCTCCAGAAGCCCAGCATTTGAGTGATTGCTGAAGGGGCAGAGCAAAGAGCCGGTGACTGACAGTCACCAATCTCTGCTCGGTGATGCCAAGAACTGAGTGATCAGCAGTCATGTGATTGCTCAGTTCTTGGACTGATGCTGCAGCAGGTAGGTAAGTAGGTATGTTTATTTTTTTAGATTCCTGCATATATCCTTTAAGCCCAAAAGCAAAAAATGTAATATATTGCAGCTTACCAATCACAGAGATACCTTTGGACAGCAGCAATGTCTATTTGAGGAGAAGGAAGTGTTAGATGTACTAGCAGATTTAGATACAATAGCAAATACCAAATACACTTTCTAAGAAGTTTTGTTCTTTTTGGAATAAAGGTTTTACATGAATAAATAAAAGCTGATCATTGTAAGCACCCATGTCAGTGGTAAATGAGGTTTCAACCCTCTAAGGCAGTGGTCTCCAAACTGCAGCACTTTGCTTGTCTTTATCCGACCCTTGGGTTACTATTCCTCCCATCGATACAAGGCACTTTTCCTCTCACTGACAGCAATGATGGGGCACTGTTCTTCCCACTGATACCAACACTTGACAATATTCCTTCCACCAATACCAATGATGGGGCACTATGTCACCTCCCACTGACCACAGGTGGTAAGTAATTTTTTTACTCCCATTGACAAACCAAGCCTGTGCAATGCTTACGCTGGGGTATTTTCTACTCCCATTGGCCAGTCCAGCCCCATCAAAGTCTGAAGGACAGTAATCTGGGCCTATGTTTACAAAGTTTTTAGACCCCTGTTCTAAGGAAAGAACACCTGAAAAACAATGCAGCTACCACATTTAAGAACTGGTAAACAACAAAATAATAAATATGTGTCTTTGGGTTTAATATCGCTTTACGTTGGAACAGTTGGGGGGAATTAAAACAAGGCATAGATGCATGTCCCCCCTCTCCCAACAGCAAGTATAAACAAGATATAAAGCAGTAGCTAAGTGATGAGGACATCCTCCTACTCACTCTGCTTCTTCCCCCTGTCAGTATGTTGTAGAATAGGATCGGCTGCTAGTGCTAGCTTTTCCTCTCTCAGTCTGATCCCGGCTATACAAAGAACGACAGGATACTCATATAGAGGTAGATTCAGATGCTTACACTAGTTGCAGTAAAAATACATTTAATTTTTTTTCAATTAAATACATATCTGCCTGTTATTCCAATAGTAATAAAAGGCTTAGCTGCCGCAAAAATACAATGCACATGTCATTAATTGACCTAATGTACAAGGTTTTGCTTTTCTTTTCCATAAATTCACATAGAAAGTGAACAATTAAGGATATCTGAGCTTTGGTGCATGAGTGATCCTTTATGGTGTAAATGTAGACCTAAGAAGTAAACCCAGCTTTATTCCTGACATTCATGCAGGGCCACAAATAGCCACATGTAGTACAGATCCCTAAAAAGAAATGGATAAATATCATAGCTGTCATTTGTAGCAAAGACTACAATCAGTGGTGAGCAGTGCAATGATAATGCACCAGTGAGAAATTGAGTAGTAGTATTAAGTATGATGCTCTTTGTATATCGCAGTACATAGGGCATTGAAATACTCATATATAAGGATTAATAGAGAAATTATATAGTGCATTATAGAGCATCATGAGCTTACCTGGTCCCTAGAGTGCTGAAATCTTTTTCTTTGCCTTGTGATATGATCACAGGGGCTAAATAAATGTTTATAGCTCCATAGCCTAGTGGAAGGGCCCATGAGGGCACCCTATGTCCAAAAGACTAATATTTTCCTAAAGACACAAGGCGCCCTGCAGAGCCACATTAATGCTTCAAAACAGGCAATATGGACAGCATTATGCTGTCAGCCAAAATGTACGTGGGTGGAGCTGGGTGTGTTCCCATCACTAATTGGCAGTCGGTGGGAGGGTAATTAGTGGTGATAACCTTGCTGCTTAATGTACATAACCACAGAGCCTGGTAGTCCAAAAGGTTACAGTTGCTGCACAAAGTGACAACGTTGCGCTGAATTCACTGCAAAGGAAAGGGTGTTGTCACCCTGTTGGAGGAATGACCTTTTACTGTTAGAATCACCATGTATTTATTACGCTTTTAAAGGACTTAGACTTATGTTTGTTATAAAATATGAACTATGATTAGTTTAAAAAAAAGGTTTAAAATATGTTTTGAATTTGCCTATAGTTCTACTTAAATACAGCAGATATATTTCTTTCTTATTTGCAAATATTAATATAGATGCGAAAGCCATTGTTTGTTAATAAATATGCAAGCACTTCCTCATCTGTTCCTGGCTTAGTTATATGACTGCAAACAATAGACAGTTTCTTATGATAGGTAGGCAGATACAATGTGACAATTCCTGCCCTTCCTGGGAGATTTTCATGGGAGATTGGGGGCAATAGTTTGTGTCCATGGTAAGCAAAATAATGTGATTTCTTAATGCTGACATGGACCCTATGGATGTGACGTGGATTTTTAAGATTCACCTAAATATTAAAGTCTAAGCACAAACTACTTTGCATTTCATTGCTAATGTCACACATACCTCTTATATTTTCCAGCTGTGAGATTCTCTCCCTAACATGGTGTGAAATATATCAATGAGCTATCCATGACCAGAGGCATAACTAAATAGGGCTTTGGTAAAAATATGAACCGGGCTTCCATGTATCTAATGCAGAACTCTTTGATGGTCCCAGTCAGACCTCTAATCAAATGCAGATTAGTTTGTTAAATTTAATGTAAAATTTAAAAGTTGGAAAATGAATTATATCCACACAGTTCACACGATCTGGATAATGATATGTCCATATTAAGGCTACTAGAGACTCATAGAGTAGATGATATAATGGAAAGGAAGGGGAAATTTAGATTTATTTTGCCCAGGATTCAGTATGATCACAAATTAAGCCTGGTACAAGCTTGCAGTAAATTAAGTAAGAGCACCTAATCTGCATATTGTTTCTGCTCAGAGACTCAGAAAGTACTTAAGTCACCATCACAGCCAGACAACTAGCATTTGCAGAGGTCAATACAGGTATGTTTTTAAACAAACCATTCCTGGCTCACCCCATGTAAGCATAGGTTGACTTGACATGTTTGACATCTTAGTACAACTCCAAAGCAGAGCATAAATTTCCCTTCTAACTCCCTCTTTTTTTCTGCCCTTGCTTTGGACATTGCTCATAGATGCCTTTTTAGAAACATCAAAAAGTAATCCCTACCATCCCATCCAGGTTCACACTCTCCTGTAGGTTCCCTTGTTGGTGGTAAATTCACTTAATGAGAAATACCCTATTGAGACTGGAGATGTGTAGTACTTATTTTAAATGGCTGGCCTGGTGGCTGTTGCTGCATTGCAGTCTTCTTGTTTATTTCTTTTGTCCTTGGAGTCAACCTTCCAGTATTCAACCCACAAGACTCTTCTCCAGAAGAACTGCCTTTGGCAACAATGGATCTGGTCCAACTGATATCAATGTACATGGCAAGTACAAGGGACTTCAGGAAGTTGGATAGGCACTTCATGCAGCATAGAGGGACAAATAAAAAAAGAGAAAATCATCTAGAACAAACTCATACTGGATTTAGCTGACAAAAACACCCTCAGGCTATCCACATCTTAAGAAAAGATGACTCATATAACGAGAGGCAAGGCAGCATGGTGGGCCTTCTATGCTAAGGTTTTGGCAGAGAATGTGTGCAGGGCAACTAGTTAGGGCACACACATCTTTATTCTGCATTCCAAGGTAGTTGGGGCAGTAGGTCTGTCTCTCTCCTTTAGTTCTTGTACACTCTCTGTCAGTGGCATCTCTATGGGGTTGTGTGGGGGTGTAGACCTCACCCGGGTGACACTTGCCAGAGGGATGACTCCTCTCTGGTATCTGCTCCAACCCAGGGAAGACCAGTATCCCTGGCTGGGATGAGCCGCCATGTTTCCGAAGTCCATCCCCCATTCATCACTATAGAGGGAACCTACGGTGGTGCCCATGAAGCAGGGACAGGGGGCAGAGACCTGGGGTCAGAGTGTGTGTGGAGAGGATGGGATGAAGATTTCCTCTGCTTGTGTGCTGGAGATCAGAGAGAAGACCAGAGAAAGAGGGAGACAGCGGGTCAGTGTGTGTGCTGTGTATTTCCTGCTCTACCACCAGGGGGAGACATCCATTCCCTTCCCCATGCTCCTCTGACATCACTGAGACATGGGGCATTCCAAACCTCCTCTACTGCACCCCTACATACTAACATGGTACATTCCATCCATCACCCCCCCCCCCCCCCCCCACATAGTGACATGGTACAATCCGTTCACAGTCCCTACATACTGACATGGTATATTTCGAGGTGGGTGTGAAACCGTGTTTTACCGCACCAGTTGACACCAACCCTAGTGACGCCACTGCTCTCTGTGGCTTTGTCTCAATAATCAAACCTTTTGCATCATTGCCATGTTTCCTTAAGTATGCTTATGTGATATGCCAGGAATGTGGAAAATTCTAATATTTACTGTTATTTTCCTTTCCTGGCTGTCTCTCATGTTAGCATAGATTTTCCCCTTAATACCTTTCCGCCTGGCCTATTGTAACATGACGGCCAAGCAGGATCCCTATCAGGGGCGGACTGACCGTTTGGAAACTCAGGCACTGCCCGAGGGCCCGGGGTCAGTAGGGGGCCCCATGAGATGCCCCTGGGGTACCTTTTTCATAGGCTTTTTTGAGTTGGGCAAGGACACAGGGCCCCATGATCCCCTATTGCCCGGGGGGCCCATGAGTTGTCAGTCCGCCCCTGATCCCTATTATCCTGGGAGGATGTCATATGACATCCTCCCAGGATCATGCCTGCTTTGTCCACCGGAACTGGTGGGAAGAAGCAAAAATGTATAGCAGTCAATGTCGTATGCATCATGATGAAAGAATCCTGAATTCGCAGAACTCCTTGATACCTTTATTTCAAATCATAAATAAAAACATCACAAACACCGCAGGGACAGTCAGATGTTAATGCATTCTACAAATGTGCTATATGCAGTGCGACATGTGGTAACATCTGACTGTCTCCGCAGTGTTTGTGATTTTATTTTATTTATGATTTAAATTAAAGGCATCGAGGAGTGCAGCAAATTCTGGATTTTTTCTTCACATGTATTGGCAGACGGGCTGTGCGTGTACCCTCATGATTGACCTGCAGTAGAGGCATTTTGCTAGTCACTTGGAGCAGGACATAACTCTTGTCGTATGCATAGTATTCCATCAAGTACTGACATTATTTTAAGTAGAGTTACCCTTTAAAGGATAAGTTCACCTTTTAAAAAAAAAAATTGACTTTTTTTGCAGGTGAAAATATGTGCTTTTTTAATTTGTTTTTAAGGAGCCTACAGAGCATTGCACCTGCAATCAGCAGATCATGGATGCAATGTCAGGCTCTTGCAGGCTTTCAGGATAACTGTCTGTCCGTATCTCTTGTGAGCAGGCAGTAACTTGGGAGCAGAAAGATCAAAGAACTACGAGAGTGCTCACCGCTGCCCTTGCAGTTAATTGAGAACTACAAGCCACCAGCTGTAGTTGATAACAGTACTTGTAGTTTGGGTGGAACCCTGCACGGTCACGCTGTTTTCAAATTGTGACAGTGGGTGCATGGAGAAGATCCCCTGCCCACTGTCATGGGGGGGAAGGGTGCATGCTGAACATGTTACATCCTAATTACATGTGTAACATATAACATGTTCAGGAAGGTGAACTTAGCCTTCCAGCTTAACTCATGTAAAGTATACTATATAGACCTGTAACGGAACCGGTACCCGACCGCACTTGGGTATATTCCGTTATACCGCAGCTTCCCCTGTCCGAACACCATCCACGGACCACACCCTTGAAATCCCTCAGGAAATAGACAGCACACAGCTCTTCTTAAAACAGGAAGCCATCTCCATTTATTTTAACACAAAACACAGGATATATATACAGAGGGCGGGGAAACACAACCAGGAACAGGAAATACATCATCAGCCCGCCCCATCAGTGGGAGGCTGCAGGAAACACCTCATCACCCCTCCCCATCCAACCAAGACACAGAACAATGGGATGAAGCACATGGCATAGAACAATAGGCAACCACATGGCAGGGACAATACAGGGACACATGCATCCCATAATAGTTGGCTGGACAGGAAGACACAGCACAAATGGGGGGTAGCACATGGCAAACAAACAATGGACAGCCATGTGGCCGAGAACAAAGGAACACACACTATACACAAGACTCAGACTTTCACATTTACACACCCTGTACCCCTTAACAGGCACAGGGTTTCTTAAACATAATAGGAATTTGGGAAGATGATACAGAGGTCCCCCCACCCCCAAAAGTCACTCCCGTCACAAGACCCATCACACTGTCCCTGTCTGCCACTTATTCTCCTGCACTGTCACCCTGTCACATGGGCAACTGATGGAGACTACAAATGGCCATTTTAACACACATTATACAGACATTGTGCGCAGTTGTCAACACCAGGAAACCCGCTCTGAGACATGCCAACAGGCAGTGATGGAGAACATGTGCACAAGAAGTGAAATGACAAAAAAGGTGATAAATATGTTGTTGAGAAAAAATAGCAATGCTTTTTAATACACACTGGTTTAGCAATCTAAATGTGTTTCAGTTCTGGTTTACATTTTCTTTAAATGTATTATCATATATTATATATTGTATATATTGTGTTCACTCTGTTTTGTATTTTACTTTTAGAAGAGTCATGCCGTAGCTTCATCGAATTATCGCCAGAGTCGGAAAAAGGTACTTAATACTTGTGGAAAGATGCAGTCAGTACTGAGGGACTTACTGGAATTACATATCATAAATTGGTAATAGATAAACAATTTCAAAATGATTCCATCGTAGTGTCACGTCATGGCTACTTCAAGGTTCACAAGGACCCTCAATATCCTCGACATTGTTCAGGTCATTCTGCTGTTGATCTATGCAATCCATATACAAAGCCCAGTTAGCTTCTACTTGTTACAATTTCCACGCTCACTGGCAGGGGAGTAGAGGCAATGCTCAGTAATACATGAACGTAGTCAGAGAGTCCCCAGTGTGACAAAGCCCTTAGACTGAGCAGCTGCAACTGAAAAACAAAAAATCACTTCAAAACAGACTTGGATGTGTTGGGTCTCTTTCATGCATATTGAAAGTGGCAGATGAGGTAAGACTGCAGGCTTCTCCAGAGTATTTATAAATGATTCATCCTATTCTTCTCATGCAGGTGTCCTGTGGTTGTCAGTGATCTCAGAGTTTCTATACATTATCCTGTTAAGTCTTGGCTTTCTACTCATGTGCTTAGAACTCTTCACCTCCAGTAATTTCATAGATGGCCTCAAGATTAACGCATTTGCTGCCGTCATTACAGTACTGTCAGGTAAGATGTCATTAGTAGCAGGATAAATACATTGTGATTGCATGCCATTCAATACGACCACTATTATCCTTTTAAAATTATCCTGCATTTTTTTTTTTTTTTTAAATATTTATGACCTGTAGTTTCTTTGTAATCCTGTTTCTTAGTTCAGGTATCTCCTCCTGACTTTCCCGGAAATATGGATGCATTATGACCATTGCCATTGTGAATGGCATGTTTTGTGAATGTTAATAGTATTGGGTCCTCCTGCGCATATAAGGATCTCCCTAACCCTAAGCTGCTGACACTTAAACCTAAAACCAAGATATAGGTGACTGAACACAATACAATATAGTGTAGCGCTATATAATAATAAACTAAATAAAGAAACTAATAAGTGCTATGATCCTTCATGGATCTTTAAGTGAATAATGATGACAAAGTGAAAAAACTGTATACATGTGAAAATATAAATCTCCACAGTCCCTCTAATTAACACTTGAGGGATCACAGACTCATAAATCCAATGGTGCAAATAAATATGTGAATCCCTTGATAGGGATAAGATACTATGTATAGGTGATTAGTGCCACACACTTAACCACATAAATAAAAGTCCACATTAAAAAATATTAAATTAATCATGAACACACAAATAAATGATGAACAGTATTGCAAAAGTCCAAATACTGCAAACATAAGATCGTGTGGAGTGCACCTTGGAGCACAATGTTGCGCTCCAAGGTGCACTCCACACGCCATCTTCAGAGACTTCACATGCCGACCGGCTTTCTTGTGACATCCACAGTCTCCCTTAGCACGAACGCGGCCATTGCAGCAAGTACTCGGCTATTACTCCACTTACCTGAGCCCAGGGGCGGACTGACCATTTGGAAACTCGGGCACTGCCCGAGGGCCCGGGGTCAGTAAGGGGCCCCATGAGATGCCCCTGGTACCTTTTTCATAGACTTTTTTGAGTTTGGGCAAGGACACAGGGGCCCCATGATCCCCTATTGCCCGGGGGCCCCATGAGTTGTCAGTCCGCCCCTGCCTGAACCTTCTTATTTTTTACACAATGTGAGTGCTTTTACATTGCTTCCCAATAAATGTTGTTACATACTGCACTTAGAGGTGCTTTTTTCTTCCTTATCTTCACACTAAAGCATATTATTGCATGTGGTATTTGGGTCATGTGACACATTTTTCCCAAATGTAGCATGCAATACTGAAAATGTCAATTCACTATCCCTTTATGAAGGGTCTGGTATGGATTTTGATGGGGACCTCATGACAATTTTTTATTTGTTTGTGGGGTGGGGGCCCGGGGGGGGAACTTCACACTGTTTAAAAAAAAAAATAAAAAATGAATTCCTGCTCTTTTGTCTTTTGTTTACATTCTGCTCTCAGCAGATGTGACATGGTTGTTAGGGATGCAGCGGCTGCTGGCTCCATAACAACCAGCTATTCACGTGCTGGCATTAAAATACCACAAGTTTTCACTATTAAAAAAACACCATCACTTCAAAATATAAAGTCATATAAACTAAATTGGAGTGCATGCAATGCTAAGTGGTTCACTGCCAATTGTTTACAAATCCACATTTAACATGAGTCTAAAAGCTGATACCAGGTATTCAGTCAAGAATGATGGTTAAAATCCAAGTGAATTTATTAAAGCAAAAAGACTTGTGCAATGAGAGCTTGAATAATAAAACCTTTTTTCTGCATTGAACAGCAGCTTACATGTGGCTTGATGCAGGAGATGACTCTGCCCCCGCCAGTTTTGGTAGATAGAATGACTCAATAACCCAGTCCTAAGGGATGGGGCAACACTGCGTACAAGTGCCCCTATGAGGAATATGGCTACAAGTAGATCATATTCCTCATAGGGGACACCTGTACATAGGTAGATGGGAAAGTCTATAACCTCTGTGTGGACATAAACTGAGTTGGAGATTATTGTAGGGAGAACTTTGGAGTATCCAAAGCATATATATAAAAAAAAGGTGATGACTGAAGTAGTGTATCACTTTTGGGGCGAACACAAATGACCCAAACTGATGGAAATATTCCTAAATAATTGCTTCTTCTTCATTTTATGGCCATTGTTATACCCTTTGTTACAGTGAAAAATGTCTGTGTCCAATAATGATTGGACAGTTTGATGCCTCATAGCAATTAGTGTGCTATGTAACTCCTATCCTATTTCTCTCGATTTACCCCATTTTGGACCGATGTTGGTCCCCTTAATTGACAGCTATCTGCATAGCAGAGCCCCTTTCCTCCTCCTATTTTCTATGTTTTGTTTGAAGTTATGTATATGTATACTGTATGTGTTCCCAATTATATGACCAGATCAAATTAGCATAGTTTAATATGCTGCAACTTAATTAGGATAGTCATAATATTATAGGAAAGTGAGGTGTAAAGAGGTTGGCTGTACACTGTGTGCTCTATGGGGAGACGTGGCATTGGCCTTGTTCCTGTTATGCTGACCTCTAAATGGATAACCAGTTATAGTCCATACTCACTTGTTATATATCTGTGCTCTTTCAGTAAGTGCCTTTTTCTTTATACAGTTTATTAACAAAGAAACTAAGATAGAGTATGTAGGCAGGTGCAGTCTAAATTCTCCACCACAGGTGGCTTTCGACTGCAGTGGCAATGCAGATGGGGGAGGAAGTTGAGAGGAAATGGGTTCCTGTATGACAGTGGTCTCCAAACTGTGGCCTGCGGGCTGGATGTGGCCCTTTGCTTGTTTATATATGGCCCTTGAGGCACTATTTCATCCACTGATACCAACAATGGGGCATAATTCTCTTTACTTACACCAATAAAGGGACACAATTCCTCCCAACGACGGGGAGCAATTCCTCCAAATGACACCAACAGACACCGATGATGGGGCACAATTCCCTCCAGTGACACCAACAATAGGGCATTGTTTATTCTCACGGACGTCAGGACCTTTTTTACTCCCAATGTCCACAGTCCGGCCCTCCTAAAGTCTGAGGGACAGTAAACTGGCCCTTTATTTAGAACGTTTGGAGACCCCTGTTCTATGATGTCCTCGGCCACATGGGGATAGGCATCCGAATGGAGGCTTGTGCCCCATGTAATACTGGTGGCCATCTTGGGTCAAGCAGAGTCTATTTGAGACCCTGACTCCCTGGTTTGGCGCACTTTATGCAAGTGGCTAGTGTAGGGACAGGTTCCCCGTCTGTCAGGGACAGTGCTTAGCATTAGGGAAAGGTTCCAGAGGAGTAGGGAGAATGCAGGGACCACATCTACCTCTACAGAAAACCTACCCTTAGGGTTGGACTGGCCAGGCTCCTTGTGGCAGACACTGTTGGCATCATCTGGTCTTCAGACCACTTTCTTATCACAGTGTGATTGCAAGTGGCACAGGATGGCCAAACCTCCCCGCCTGGCCTGTTTGCATTTTCTGAACGTCTTTTACAATATAACCCTTTTGACAAATTGGAACTCTGCTTACTGCCCACCACATCATGCTGCACCTATCCCACAAGGTGACCACATTAGTTGCTTTTTATGTTATTGATGTGTAGGAGTAAGGAGGGGACACTAGAATACTGTCTCTGGATGGAATACTTATTTATGACATATTCCTTAATGTTTTCTTTGTTTAATAGTTGTCCACATGTTGAACATGTGGTGAAATTACTCAATCCCATGCTTCAGTTTTTCTGATTTACCATAAGTCCCACCTTGCAGCTCCTTGTGTTCTGCATTCTCATCCAGCATTTCACAAAGACTTCTTTTGTCTAAAATGCATTGCAGACAGAGGTAGCTGGAGGAGGACTGGAAAAGATGTCACAAGGATTTTAGACAGGCAGGATGCCACAAGGCTTTATTTTACCATTTCACATCTAAGAAGCTCAAAGCCATTAAGGGGAGTTTTCATTTAAGTAACATCTGATATTCTGTAAAGTGGCTTACATTTACTATGCTGATTATTCTCTTCCATCATTCATACCTGCAAACAATAATAGTAAATGACTTCTGTTTATTAGGTCTTCTTGGCATGGTCGCCCATATGATGTACATGACTGTGTTCCAAGTGACTGTGAATCTTGGTCCCAAGGACTGGAGACCCCAGACATGGTATTATGGCTGGTCTTTTGGGTAAGAAAAAATGTTACTGTTGAAATTTCTAGTTATGAGCGTCTCTGCAGGTCATTTATGTATGGAAGGAATATAAAATTGCAAATAAAGTATATCTCATCAAAGGTGAAACTTATTTTGAGTATCTTATAAAAAAAAGGCCTCCACTTAGGTTTCTGCCTTTTTTTTCTTGATGGAGTCCTTTACAGCCTTGTGTTCTGGAAAAACATGATCCTTTTGCTCATCAAGGCCCTTGTACATATGATTGCGTATAGAAACCTGGACCTCCTCTCCTTGGATTTCAAGAGTGTCATGGATAAATTTAAGAAGGTCATCAATATCCTCTGAGGCTAACTTGTATTTAGATGTTTTCCTTGCTTCTTCTTCTTCTTCAGTGGAATCTGACTGTGATGAACCAGAACCGCTGTCACCTTCATCCTCAACTTCTTCAATAACACCAGGCATTCTAACCTGGGAGGGAGAGGGTAATGTAGATGGCAGACACCCAGGTTGTCTAGGGGGTGTTGGCTTGTTAAGCATGGTTCTGAAGGATTGAAATAAGGCTGAAAGCTCTTCCTTAACAAAAGAAAAGATATTTGTACAAGCTGCAGAAGACTGATCCTTAACTAAATGCTTAATTCACGGTTGGAAAATTTTCCCAGGATTCATTCCTTTTAGTATGGCAGGCAGCACGTCTTGCTCAACAAGGGGAGCAGATGTTTTATTTTTCCACCAGTCTGAAGAAAGCAACCATCAATGGGCACTAATCACATTCTGAAGTGCTATACCGAAGCCCACCAGGGCAAATAATTAGAACAAGCACATGTCATCAAAAAGGGGTATATTAGGGAACCTCAGTGTCCCAGCAGGAGTTTATGACAGGAGTAGAGAGAAAGACACTTTAGCGTCATGATTGTCATGATTGTACTGCACTACTGCCACTGTATAGCCCACTGCTGCCTCACTAATAAATCTTAAAGAGTGTGCAGCAGGAGAGAGGCACCCGCATCCAGTAGTTCTGGCTTTCTTAAACACCACTGAATCCTGCTGGGACTACATACTACGGTATAGAGTAGGTGCACTTGCTGCCTGAAAGACAGCACCAAAGGTAGAGGATCTCTCCTCTTCCTTAAAAGGGACATCACAGAACGACAGAGGGGCACAGGTATACTGGGCAGTAGTGGCTCTCCCTGAGCAGAAAAGGGAAAGAAAGTCCTAGTAAGTGGCATGCCAATAAGGAAAGGATGCCTGAGGGCCTGCATAAAAATGGAAGGGAATAGGGAAGAAAAGTCCCCAAAAGACATCCCTAAAACAGTAAAGCTCCCACCATAAACCATTGAAATCTGTACTGTTTCTGTCTTGTTGGTGGAAACACACAAACTGATGTAGTCTGAGAAGGATACTATTTTCAAAGGTCTCTATGCTAGTGTTTCCTGAGTTTTTTATGTAGAGGCACACAAACCTATGTTCTGTTTTGAAAGACAATGGGGGGGGGGGGGGGAAAATGATAGATATCTACTTAGCAGTTCTTAAATTTGATTGGATGTTTTAGTTTTCTTTTTTTCCAGTTATTTTTAACTGGCGATCCTGCCAGTAACACAGTATAGAGGAGCAAAGTTCTTACCCAAGTAAAGGAAGTGTGTAAGGACTACAGAACACCACACCTCCTTGTATTCATAACATGGGGAAGGTGTTCTATATTTCAAAGAGGCAAAGTACTTACAGTATGACTGAAAGCAAAACCTCTTTTTTTTTAGTTTTGGACAGTGTGGTGAGAGATTAGAACGCCTGTCATGTTTTCATTGCTGTCTGTGCCTATATTAGCGAGATTCACCATCTGTTTGTCCTGTTTACCGTTATTATCAACAGTGAAAGTAATAGAAAATTCCACTGCATTTTCTGAATGTACCTGCAGCCTCCTGGGACATGTGACGTGTTCCAGTAGGTTGCAGGCAGGGAGGGGGCCGAAATTCCTAGGTGAGTCGAGCTGAAAAAAGCGGGTACCTGCCAGAAATAGGTACCCCTCCAAGGAAAAAGAAAATCCAAGATACACTATATTGCCAAAAGTATTGGGATGCTTACCTTTACATGCACATGAACTTTAATGGCATCCCACTCTTAGTCTGTAGGGTTCAATACTGAGTTGGCCCACCCTTTGCAGCTATAACAGCTTCAACTCTTCTGGGAAGGCTGTCCACAAGGTTTAGGACTTAGTTGTCTATGGGAATGTTTGACCATTCTTTCAGAAGCGCATTTGTGAGGTCAGGCACTGATGTCGGACAAGAAGGCCTGGCTCACAGTCTTCACTCTAATTCATCCCAAAGGTGTTCTATCGGGTTGAGGTCAGGCCTCTGTGCAGGCCAGTCAAGTTCCTCCACCCCAAACTAGCTCATCCATTTCTTTATGGACCTTGCTTTGTGCACTGATGTGCAGTCATGTTGGAACACGAAGGGGCCACCCCCAAATTCTTCCCACAAAGTTGGGAGCATGAAATTGTCCAAAATGTCTTGGTATGCTGACGCCTTAAGAGTTCCCTTCACTGAAACTAAGGGGTCAAGCCCAACCCCTAAAAAACAACCCTACATCATAATCCCCTTCCACCAAACTTTACACTTGGCACATTGCAGTCAGGCAAGTACTGTTCTCCTGGCAACCTCCAAACCCAGACACATTCATGAGAATGCCAGACAGAGAAGCGTGATTCTACACTCCAGAGAACACATCTCCACTACTCTAGAGTCCAGTGAAGGCGTGCTTTACGCCACTGCATCCGACACTTTGCATTGCACTTGGTGACATAAGGCTTGGATGCAGCTGCTCGGCCATGGAAACCCATTCCATGAAGCTCTCTACACAATGATGTTGTGCTAATCTGAAGGCCACATGAAGTTTAGAGGTCTTTAGCTATTGACTCTGCAGACAGTTGGGAACTTCTGCGCACTGTGAGCTTTATCATGCGCTGATCCCGCTTTATCATTTTACGTGGCCTTACACTTAGTGGCTGAGTTGCTTTTGTTCCTAGTTGCTTTGTTATAATACCACTAACAGTTGACAGTGGAGTATTTAGTAGCAAGGAAATTTCACAGATGGACTTATTGCACAGGTGATAACCTATCACAGTACCACGCTTGAATTCACTGAGCTCCTGAGAGCGACCCATTCTTTCACAAATGTTTGTAGAAGCAGTCTGCATGTCTAGGTGCTTGATTTTATACACCTGTGGCCATGGAGGTGATTGGAACACCTGAATCCAATGATTTGGAGGGGTGTCATAATACTTTTGGCAATATATTAGTAGAAAACGAGTGGAGGAGGAGGAAAAGTGTAACTTCCCTTTTTAAGTGAAGTTTCACTTTCAGCTGATATTTCTGACAGGATGAACAGATATTTGTTTCTCTCAAAAAGAAAAGTTTATAGTTCGGTTTACATTTATATTAACACACATTGCAAAGTAGCCGGAGCGCCCTAATTTCTTGCTGGGTAGTAGGGTATACAAAACCAGCCAACAGTTTAAAACTGATTTGTATCACTCATTTTAAAGCAGTATTAAACCCAAAAGCAAACATTTATAATACTACAGCTTACCAATTCTTAGATATGATGGCTGTAGTTGTTTCCTTTATTAGGATTTCTTTCTTCTATTTTCATGTGGTGATGCAGCCTGCAAGTCTGTTGTTTTTCAGACGCACAAGCTCTCCAACAGAATGTATCAGTTTACATGGATTAAATAATCCATTTACCACTGGCAGCAGTGATTAAAATGAATAGCTTTCATTTATTCATGTAAAACCTTTATTCCAAAAGGGAAAACACTGTTGCTGTAACTGGTTATAAAGCGTGAGCTGGAGTTTGGCTTCAATTTGTTAGTGTATTCAAATCTGATAATACTTTTAACACTTCCTTCCCTCAAGATTGACATTTCTGATGTCTGCTGTGTCCTGTGCTTCTTTCTCGAGAGTTTGTGTCTCACTAATTAAGGAGGTGTGTTACTGGCCAGCTCACTAGGTGAAAACAGGGAAAAAAGCTAAAGAAAAGAAAACTGATGCAGCCACTACATCTAATGATTGCTTAGCTGCAACACAATACATTTTTGGTTTTGGGTTTAATACTGCTTTAAACATACAGACATCAGCAAAATGTTGGTGGACTTACAAAATCTGAGTAATCAGCAACATTCCTCCCCATAAACAAAATTGAAGCGCTGGAGCATGCCACACTGACATCAAATGCTGCTGTCTCTTGCATAGAGCAGTGGCGTACATGTGAGTTTTCATATGCCGGCTTTTATTGGTTTTTCTGTTTTTAAGCTTTGATTTTAATAAAAGATACTGCACTATGAGATTGCTTCTTTTGTTTTCATATTCATTTAATGGAGAGCGCATTCCCAACAGGTTGAGCTGAATTCCCCAGACACAATGGAAATGGGTGATCTCATTCCTATACCAGGCTATTTGACTCTTTGAAAAGGGGTGTGAGAGGAGATCATGGCTGCAGCTGTTTGTAGTGGAGATCCAAATCACTGAGCTCATAAAATACATATACCTCATTGTTTTCAGGTTCTTCTTTTGGTGGGTGTGTATTGCACTTGTCTCAGTGACGGGATCCACATCAGAAGTTTTCACTTGATGGATTGTTTTCTCACTTTATAAAGATTTCTTGGGACAATTTCATGAAATAAGACATTTATTTCACTGACAGAACTACTTTTCTTACTTGAACTGTTTAAACATTTTTTATATATGGTATTGGTCTCCTACTGTATGGTGTATTTAAGGGCTGGTTTAGTTATATTTTTGCTTGGCGCTGAAATTTTGCTTATCATTTGCTTCGGATTTATATACACCAATCAGTCATAACTTTTTTCCATTGATAGGTTAAATGAAAAGCATAGATTATATGTTGCAATGACATCTGAAAGTCAGTGGGATATTTTAGGCAGCAAGTGTACATGTCCTTGAAAAAATAAATTGGCATCTCAATTTGCTGTGTATGAGGTAGCCTTACTGCAGACTGTTCAGGGTTTCTACGCCGGCCCGTGTCCACAGCCAAAAGTGCCTACAATGGGCATGAGGACAGCAGGACTGAACCATTAAGCAATGGAAGAAGATGGCTTTGTCTGATGAATCATGTTTTGTTTTACATCATTTGAATGGCCACATGCATGTGCGTTACTTACTTAGAGAAGAGATAACACCAGGATGCAGTATGGGAAGAAGGCAAGTCAGGAGAGGCAGTGTGATGCTTTGGGCAATGTTCTGCTGGGAAACCTTGGGTCCTGCCATTCATGGGGATGTCACTTGACACATTCCACCTACCTAAACATTGTTGCTGACTAAGTACACCCCTTCATGGAAAGCCTGGGAATGGCTTCTTTCAGCAGAATAATTTGCCCTGCCACACTGCAAAAATGGTTCAAGAATGGTTAGAGGAACACAACAACAAGTTTAAGGTGTTGACTTGGTCTCCAGAATCTCCAAATCTTAATCCATCGAGCATCTGTGGGATGTGTTAAAAAAAGAAGTCCAATCCAGGGAGGTCTAAACTCACAATTTACAGAATTTAAGGGATCTGCTACTAATGACTTGTTGCCAGATACCACAGTATACCTTACTAGGTCCACTGGTGTCCATGTTTCAACGTTTCAGTAATGGCATCCATGTCTCAATGTGTCATGGCTCTACTGACAGAAAAAAACTCAGATTTGGTGGCAAAAAGGGGAGGTAATCAATATTAGGTGAGTAGTCATACAGTTATGGCTGATTGGTATATATCATTTTCTAGTGCTAGCAGCCAAAATTTATTTTCTTCAAAGCTAATACTTGGGTATATGCTGGAACATAACGCCAAAAAGTGGAGGCTGATCATTTCCAAAGTATGTGTATGTTCACTTTGCAGAGTGAATGCTAGTAAATAAGGTATAGTTTGAATATCCAATCATGTGCTAACAAAAAATCTTGTTTTTTTTGTTTTTCCCTCACACATGATTGAGCCAATGGAAGTTGTTTCACAGACAGCATAACCAATTTTACATCTACTTATCCTTAGTTATCTTGTCTGTTAGTGGGATATGCCAACAACTTCTTCCCACATAACCCGTGTACAAACAATTCATTAGTGCATAAACTGTGGAGCACAATTCTACTGCAGTGTGTATCCTGAGACCAGTGATTACCTCATTGGATACCTTCATCTTTATCTCAAGTAAAGAAGGAAAAGTCAAGCTGTTGATCACAGCCTGCATGTCCTTCCAGTGACAATCATACATCGCTGTACCCTGCAAGCAGAGGCGTAACTAGAATCTTTCGGGCCCTGGTGCAAGAAACCCTGAAGGGCCCCCCAACCTCCCCTTCCTGGGCCCTTCCTTCCGAGCCTGGAACCTTACCACCGATCCCAGGACCCTTTATTGCCGTTGCGGGGCCCTTCATTGCAGTCCCACAGTGGATCCCTTTCACAGGAGGGGGGGTGCAGCATGACAGAACAGGGGGACGTTGTGACAGAAGGGGGGCAGTGTGACAGAAGAGATGGGCACTTTAATAGGAGGGGGGTATTGTGATGGTGGGGCACTGTGACTGGAGGGGGGGCACTGTGGCAGAAGAGAGGGGCACTGTAATAGGAGGGGGTACTGTGATGGAGGGGCACTGTGACAGGAGGGGGGGGGGGCACTGTGACATTAGGAGGTTGTATGAGGGAGGGCAGTGTGACAGGAGGGGAGCAGTATGAGGGGTGCATTGTGACAAGAAGGGTTAGTATTACAAGAGAGGGGGCAGTATGAATGGGGCAGTGTGACAGGAGGAGTTGCAGTATGAGGGGGGGCAGTGTGATGGGAGGGGGGTAGTATGAGGGGGGGCACTGTGACAGGAGGGGGGCAGCATAACAGTAGGACAACTGGACACACTATACTGGCTATTCGACTCAGTAATCTGCTGTGGCATTGTACGAGGGGGGCATTTTGACAGTAGGGGGGCAGTATGAGGGGGGCAGCAGTATGAGGGGGGGGCATTGTGACAGGAGGGGGGCAGTATGAGGGGGACAGTATGAGGGGGGCATTGTGACAGGAGGGGACAGTATAACAGTAAGACACCTGGACACACTATACTGGCTATTCGATGCAGTAATCTGCTGTGGCATTGTACAAGGGGGGGCACAGTGACAGGAAAGGGGGCAGTATGAGGGAGGGCATTGTGACAGGAGGGGGCAGTATAACAAAAGGACACCTGGACACATTATACTGGCTATTCGGCTCAGGAATCTGCCATGGCAGAGAATGTGCATGCTACCAGGTGGCAGGGAACATTTCTCCTACCTTACCCAGCAGCAGGGGCAGCCTCTAGACAAGAAGTGGGAGCCGGAGTCAGGGGAGTAGAGCTGGCAGTCCCAGCAGATTATTTGTCTGTTGTCAACCTTACATCACATCTTGGCTCATGGCTGTCAGAAACAGAGAGCACCAGGCTGGATAGGAGGAGCAGCAGGGCAGCATGTAGAAGAACCGATCTTCTCCATTTTTTTCTCCTTGCTCCTAGAGGACTTTCAGAGGCTGCAGGAGCCTAGAGGAAAGCATAAGGGATTACTTCTTCTATACGCCGTCCCGCTGCCCTTCCTATCCAGATGTAGACAAGTGTGATAGGGGAGCCTTACAGGCCCCCATACAGCATGGGGCTGGGTTGCAAATGCAACTCCTATAGTTACGCCACTGCCTGCAAGTGTCAGTCGCCAGGGCGAGTAGTTTGAGATGAAGATTAGGACTTGACCAATGTATTTCAACAAAAAAAAATTTAAATTTGCCCAAACTAGATTTAACTAAGAGTTGCATTTGTATTTAGACAACATTTATTTAGCCTGGAAATTCAGATTTCAAGGCTAAGTTCACCTTTCTGAAAATAATACAACAGAATAAATGCACATTTTTTGCAGGAAAAATGTGCATTTATAATTTTTTTCAAAGAAGCCTGCAGAGCGATGCACCTGTGATCAGTAGGCTCCTGCAGACACTGCCTCCAGCTTTCTTGCCCATACCTCAGTTCATTAAAAACTACAAGCTGTCTGCCACAGTGGAAGACAGGACTTGTATTTAATTCATTCACAGATTCCCACAGCTGTGCCAATTTTGAAATATGGCAGTGGATGCGGGGAGATGATCCCCTGACCACTGTCACAGAGTGTGGGGGGGCAGGCGCTGGAGCATGTTACATGTTACACCCTGAAATGGATGTAAGGTGTAACATGCTGCAAAAGGTGAATTTAGCCATTAATGCCTCTAGCAGCCAGGTACATAAGTAGAAATTCAATTTTTTTCTTGTTCCTGTTTCCAGCCATTTCCATTCTAATGTCATACCTTGATAGGTCTTAACCAAAGGAAAAAATGTATTTACTACAGTAGGAGCTTTTCCTGCATGACCCAAGTGTTGTATACTGATGCATATTGAATATGGATGTTCAGCTCTGTACCATTTCAGGGAAAGTTGGTAAAGGAACCAGAGTTTAGTGTCATTTTAAATTACTAATTTTAGCATGATATTTTGTTTTTAAAGTTTAATTCTGCTAATTAGAATGGAGTCTATTTTTAAATTGTTTTCTTCTTTTTAATAGTCTGGCTTGCTATCCTTCACTCTTTGCATGTCAGCTTCTGTCCTTACACTCAACACTTACACAAAAACGATCCTGGAGTTCAAATATCGGAGAAGAATCTTTGAGAAAAATGTGCGAGAATGCAACCCATTTCTGGACTCTGAGATGGTGCGTTTCCTTTGGGAGAAGTACATCTTCTCTGTCAGCGGCTCGCTCGAAGACCCACTGAATTGGCACAAGGGATTTGGAAGTCCTTTCTTTGTGGATATTGGCAGCATCACTGATTTGCCAGGTACAACGAAGAGCGAGGAAAGAAACATTGAAGTAGAAGATGATGGTGAACAGTGTTAACAGAGTATATATGTTTATAAATCACAATAAAATAAAAGCATAATCAAATCCTAAATGGTGTGTTTCCACACAATGCATAAGTATATGTGTGTGTATGTACAATAAATATACAGTGTCTATAGAAAAGAATCACCCCCCTTTAGAATAATGACATTTTGCTGATATGCAGACTGGAATGAAGACAGACACAGTTTTTGTTTTATCCAGCTGCAACTTATAATACCTCACTGCAACCTATAACATCCAAATGAAACATATAACACCAATATGTCAGAAAAAAACATTCAAAAACAGAATCAATGAGTTGGAAAAAGGATCACCCCCCCTAAAAATGACTTGCAAACTCAATCAGGTGTAGCTAATCACCTTCTCAATGGCACACAACGCCATTTGACTTTCAACTGTGATCAGCTGAGGTCATTTTGATTAGCTCAGCATGAAAAGAGCTTTCCTGGAGCATTTCAGTCCCTGGTAGTCCAACTGAAGCAAACAATCACGTATAGGTGGCAAGTCACTGTCAAAAGATCTTTGGGATAAAGTTGTAGACAGGCACAAGTCAGGAGATGGATAACAAAAAAAAATTAAAGACATTATCAATGCCTAGAAGCACAGTTAAAGCGGAGCTCCAGTTATCTTGGCAGTTTTCTACAAAATACACCCCTGTGATTCTCTTTAGTTGCACAATATAAAAAGGATACTGTTATAAGTGTATTTCTTCTTACTTGGAAATATGACATTCATTGCAGGATCCCAGCAGTCAGGCAAGCAGCCATTACTAGTGTGGGCATCTGAAGCCCACTCCTACTTGCTTCTGGGATTCTGTGCAGCTGCTACCCAGCATGCACCTCCCGATTTTGCACCTGCGCAGTAAGGACACAGTGCAGCGCACTGTGTTGCTTACAGGTTGCCATAACAATGGCGGCGGCAGAAGTTCCCACCTCGTTGTTATGGCAACCTGTCAATCAACACAGAACCCGAAAGGAAGGCAAGTGCGGTCTGAAGGTTCCTGAGATAGATGACGGCGATATCCCAGGAGCCCTAGGGAATCGCCTATGATGTAATCGCCTAGGCGGCTGGGACTGGAAGTGCAGACTACAATAGAAAAATAAGGTATTTAGAAGGAAAAAAAAATCAAGTAATTGCCATTACAGGCTGTTCTGCGGATGAGCATTGTGTTGCAAGGAACATGAAAAAATGGGTGGAACGACACTTTAAGTCTATTATTAAGAGTTTTAAGGTATTTGGTACAACACAGACCCCCTCCCTCCCCCCCCCTCGGATATTTCTCAAACTGGATGAAAGAGGGAGGAGGAAACTGGTCAGAGAGGCTACCAAGAGGCCTACAGCAACTCTGAAGCAGTTGCAGGAATTTATGACAAAGATGGTGATTGTGTGCATATAACAGCAATGGGCTCCATCCACAAAGCAGTATTTTCCTCTTTAAAACTTGCGGTAAAATACCTCATAGCGTTTTTTCTAAAAGTTTTTTGGCATTCAAAAAAAAAAAACTTCTAAAATACCACATGCTGTATTTTACCAAAATGTGGGGTATTTATCTCATGAAACCATGCAGTATTTTATCTCATGTGATATCCAGTGGGATGGATACAGTGGAGAAGAATTAGAACCTCTGTCTGTTTTTATTGCTATTAAAGAGGTAAAATGGTCTAAATCGTACAATGATGACAACTTCCTAAATCAGTGCAGACCCTGCAGCAGATGTATTAATACAAAAAAAAAAAAAAGGTGATCAGAATACCAGGAAAGAGAAGCTGCTTTCACAGGACACATGGTGTATCAAAAACAACTAAGTTAAATGAAGTAAATACAACATATTTTTCTAAATGTTAAATAATGAATGAAAATATCAACAAAAAGAACCTTCAAAGGGATTCAGTACCGCTATTAAATATATATGTACATATAAATAAATCAATTAGCGATCATTTAAAATATGTGAAAAACTGGAAGTCCATAAAAAAAATCTTTTCAACCAAATGAATCTTCCAATTCCCAAAAGATCACCACGTGCAATAAAGATGGCGTTTCCCCTTTCGGGTGTGCACTCACCAGATCGCCATGCCTCCCATTCTCATGGTTGGCTAAAATTACTTATAAAGTGGATCCAAATGGGAAGGAGATCAGTCAAAATGGATATTATCACACTCTCTGCTCATCCTTCAAATGCCATGATCAGCTGACACCACTTCATAGGTTAACAAATTCCTAATGATGAGGAACTTATAGCAACATGGATAGCACTCTCCTTCTCCTTAATCTCTCGCATTCAGGATTAGTGGTCATGTGGAAACAAAGAAATGAAACCCAATGGTACAGTACAAAATGACACCTCTAACCTCCCTGGCGGTATTCCTGAGTGTAGCTCGGGGTAAAGTTTCAGTACCAAAAGCGGTAACCCCGAGCTACACTCGGGCTTACCATGCGGCGTTGCTCAGGGATTCCCTACAGCGCTTAACTTGTCCTTCGCTCCCGCGATGCGTCCCCTGCAGCGTCCCCGCCCATCTCCTCTGGCCGATGCCGCCATCTGGCTTCCGTGTTCCGGTCCCTGTGAGGTCGGGACGTACGGGCGCCGGAACCGGCAGCAAATTTGAACATTTAAAAAAAATGACATTTTTTTTAAAACGATTATTTCATAGCAAAACATTCCTGTATTAAAGCATTTCACATACATTTTGTCCCTACTGCTTTGTCCTGTGCCCTGCCTGAATTTTGACTGTTCTTTCTGCCTGAAAACTTAGAAAAGTCCACGGCTTTCAAAAAGCGTCCCTTTAGGTCAAAAGCGGTTTTAGACCGGCTAGAGAACAGCGATAGTAAATCAGAACTACTTGCAGAATTGAGTGATAATGATTCATGGGGGAAATTCGTCATCAGACACTGAAAACGATTTTGCGACTTTGCTCAGTGATGTGCGAACTTGGCGCTATATTTCAAATTTCAGTGTTTTTGGTTTGATTATATTATTGAATTAAATTTATTATTATTATATTATTATTTTTTATGAGTATTTATTCAATTATAATTTATGATTTCGTGTTTCAAGTTTTATCATATCCGGAATGTTTTCTAGACTCTTGTTCGGACAGATTTCAGAGAGTTATTCCTAAATTACAGGCCTACAATAAAAAAAATACATATTTCCATGCAAAAAAATGGTACCGCTTTCAGCACCAAAAATCTGAAATAATCATACCGCCAGGGAGGTTAATCGCTATAAAGACAGCCACTTACAAAATATAAGTAGATAAAGAGTCCATAAGTAATGCAGTGAGTTCAAAAACACTGGTGGGTATCAAGGCAATGCTCTCACCACCGCCAGATCCCAAATAATGGCGCTCCCACGTCACTTCCGGTTCTGTCACTTCCGGTCGCCGCACAGCCTCGCTCTGACACGTTTCATCATATCCGACTTAGTCATAGGGATCTGAATGAAAACAGTATAAAAAAAAATCAAACACTTATCTAAATACCCTTCTTCCACCAATAAAAAATACAATGTTGTATTTTGTATTAGTGGAAGAAGGGTATTTATATATGTGTGTTATTTTTATACTATATTCATTCAATATTTGACATTTAGAAAGATATTTGGTATTTACTAAATGTATAACCAAACTTTTTTTTCGTTTTGGATAGGGTGGAGTGTGCACTGCACATGTGTGTGTCTCGAATGAACTAGGAGCTTTCTTCCATGAAAGCAGAATGGGAGGTCAACCACTCTACACACTTGTGCACAGCCTACAGGTATTACTCAAAAAAATCTTTGTTCTGAAAATTGGAGATCTGCTTTGTAATACACTGATGAGGCTGCAATGCAAATGACTTATTTTGAAAAGGTTTAATTGAAATATAGCTAAAAGAAATCTTTTTTTTTTTTTAGTTTTGGATAGAGTGTAGAGGGATTAGCACACCTATTAGTTTTCACCTGTTTACCATTATCATTGAAAGTAAACAAAAAGAAAATCCCAAATTTTGGGCTGTCCCCAGAAAAGTAATAAAGAGAACATATTCCAGTGTGAACACAGATGGCAAAAAAATGAAAAACACAAGTGACAGGGGTGCTAACCCTCCATTACTCTATCCAAAATAAAAAATAAAGTTTTGCCTTTAGTTATGCTTTCATGCAGCCTTTCTCAACCTTTTCAAAAAAGAGGAACCCCTGAAATAACTTTCCAGTCTCAGGGAACCAGTGCTAAAAATGACTATATCTACAACTCATGATACGTTAGTGTGATGGTCAGTGGAAAGAATGCTCCTTACACTTGTGGTCACTGGGAACAATTAAACCCTTACAGATAGCTAAAAAGATCAATAATGTCAGTTGGAAGATATCTCTAAAAATAATTGTGAAAAAGTAAAGTATCCCACTACATACAGCGGGTAAAATAAATATTGAACACATCACCATTTTTCTCTGTAAATATATTTCTATAGGTGCTATTGACATGAAATATTCACCACATGTCAGTAACAACCCATGCAATCCATACATAAAAAGAAACCAAAACAAATAAATTCAGAAATTAACTTGTGCGTAATAAAATGGATTGACACAAAAAGTATTGGACACGTGAAGAAAGGGAGGTACAAAAAGGCATGGAAAGCCAAGACACCAGCTGAAATCTATCAGTAATTAGAAAGCCATCCTGCCCCTTGTCAGTGCAAATTAATATCAGCTGGTTCAGACTCAACTGATGGCCTATAAAAAGGTGTCTTATTACAAAGGCGTCACACAAGAATCATCTCATGATGGTTAATTGCAAAGAGCCCTCTCAAGACCTTCACATCCTTATTGTTGCAAAACATACTGATGGCATTGGTTACAAAAGGATTTCTAAACTTCTGAATGTTCCAGTGAGCACTGCTGGGGCCATAATGCGGAAGTGGAAAGAACATCATTTCACCATAAACCGCCACGATCAGGTGCTCCTTGCAAATTTTCTGACAGAGGAGTGTAAAGAATTATCAGAAGAGTTGTCCAAGAGCCAAGGACCACTTGTGGAGAGCTTTAGAAAGATCTGGAATTAGCAGGTACAATTGTTTAAAAGAAAACAATAAGTAATGCACTCAACCGCCTTGGCTTGTATGCACTCTCACCATGCAAGACTCCATTGCTGAAGAAAAAGCATGTTAAAGCTCGTTTGCAGCAAAACATTTAGACAAGCCTATGAAATACAGGGAGAATATAATCTGGTCAGATGAGACCAAAATTGAACTCTTTGGATGCCATAATACACACCATGTTTGGAGGTCAAATGGCATTGCACATCACCCCAAAAACACCATCCCAACAGTGAAGTTTGGAGTTCATCTCATTGAAGGAAGGCTGAATGGAAAAAGGAACCAAGACATTCTTGATAAAAATCTGCTGCCATCTACCAGGATGATGAAGATGAAACGAGGGTTGACATTTCAGCAAGACAATGATCCCAAACACAAAGCCAAGGAAACTCTCAATTTGTTTCAAAGAAAATAAAGCTGCTAGAATGGCTTAGCCAAATCACCTGACTTGAATCCAATAGAAAATCTATGGAAAGAACTAAAGGAGGCATCTTGAAGCGGTCATTACCAACAAAGGATTTTGTACGGGAGTATTAAATACATTTTAGTTAGCATGTTCAATACGTTTTCCCTGTGTCATTCCATTTTATTACACGTAACTTAATTTCTAAACCTACCGTATTTTTCGCTCCATAGGACGCACTTTTTTCGCCCAAAAAAAGGGGGTTAAATGTCAGTGCGTCTTATGGAGCGAATATGGAGCGGCCGGTCCGGTATTTCCACTGCCACCGTGTCAGAATACCAGGCCAGCCGCTCAGCTCTGCAGCGGGACCTTATGGAGATGACTGCTGACCTTTGGGGAGGTGGGGAGCGGGTACCTGAATTTGACAGGTACCCGCTCTTACTTCCGCGGAGTTGTTCCTTGACCTTACCTGTTCCTCTATCCAGCGGCGCGCTGTCTTCCCGGCTTCTGTAGTGTGGGCGCTGGGCTTGACAGCCGGGTGCCAAGTGCGCATGCGCAAGAAGCGGTGCTTTTTGTGAATGGTAAGGCGGTACCTGGGACACATGACAGATCCCAGAAGCCGCTGGACCAATCACAAAGCGCATGTGCTTCTCGCTCATGTGCACTGGGCACCCGGCTGTCATGCCGAGCGCCCACACTACGCGGCTGGATAGAGGAACAGGTAAGATCAAAGAACAACTCCGCGGAAGTAAGAGTGGGTACCTGTCAAATTCAGGTACCCGCTCCCCACCTCCCCAAAGGTCAGCAGTCATCTCCTGTACTGTCCGCAGTCTCTGGTCATCCCTGTGCTGTCCGCAGTCTCTGGTCATCTCCTGTACTATGTCTGCAGTCCATTAGTTCAGAATTTTTTTTTCCTGTTTTCTGCCTCTAAAACCTAGGTGCGTCTTATGGTCAGGTGCGTCTTATGGAGCGAAAAATACGGTATTTGTTTTGGTTTGCATGGATTGTTACCGACATGTGGTGAAAATTTCATGTCAATAGCACCTTTAGAAATATATTTACTGAGAAAGATGGTGATGTGTTCAATACTTATATTACCCGCTGTATATGACATATGATGTATATGCTTGTATATACACATAAAAGTGTCTAAAAATCTGGCGAAGCGACAGGAGAAAATATGTATATTTTTACTACATGTAATGGGTGAATTTACTAAAAGTATTGGAGCGGATTTACTAAAGGTACATAGACTGAACACTTTGCAAGTGAAGTTGTTCCAGAGCTTAGTAAATGAGGGGAAGCTCTGCTGACTTCCATTATCCAATCATGTGCAAGCAAAAATGCTGTTTTCCCCTTGCATGTGATTGGGTATCCTTTGTAAAGGAAAGCTTTACCTCATGTACTAAGCTCTGGAGCAACTTGCAAATTGCACAGTGTATTTGCCTTAAACTAGAACTACAGGCAAAACTTTTTTTTTTCATTTTGGATAGAGTAAAAGAGGGTTATAACCCCTGTCACTTTTTTTTTATATTTTTTGCCATCTGTGTCCCCATTGGGTACAGCCCAGACTTTATGATTTTCTTTTACGTTTACTTTCAATTAAAGTGGTCAATGGTAAATAGGAGAGGGGGACACAAACAACAATAAAAACCTGACAGGTGTTTTAATCCACCTCCACTCTATACAAAACTAAAAAAAGTTTTTTTTTCCTTTAGTAAATCAACCCCAGTGATTTCCATATTTAGGTTTCTATGCATTACTGTTGAGAGGACTGATCCAAAAAAGCAGAGACTACTTAGAATTGGCTATTATATTTTTACATTTCTTAAATACTGCATGCCTGGACCACTACTTAATTACTGCATGCATGTATTTATTGATTTCCATCTGTGAATTGACGTTTATGCCTTTTCATGCGGCATTTACTGAGCATTTTGCGGTAAATACCACAACATGGTATAGTGAATTGACAGTTTCGGGATTGCGTGAGATATTTAGGGAAAATGTGTCTAGACACCTAAATATTGCATGCGATCTGCTTCTGTGAATGGAGCCCAATATCACAAATTCTCTATAAATGTGGCTTGTATGGGAGGTTTGCAAGAAAAAAAGCCACTCCTCAAGAATGGCCACATGCAGTCTTTGCCACCTTGAAGATTCTAAGGCTACCTGGAAAAAACACTCAGCTGTGAAAAGATCATTAATACAGCAATGAGTAAAGAGCTCTAAAACAAAAATACGAAACATTACATTTGAATATAGTAATTTAAGAGCATACACACGTTTATGTGCGTTTACAGTGGGTATAAAAACACTCCGCCCCCTTTTAGCACTTCAATACCGGACACTTTTACCCCCTTCCTGCCCAGGCCAATCTTCAGCTTTCGGTACTCTCACAGTTTGAATGACAATTGCGCGGTCATGCAATACTGTAAGCAAACTAAATTTTTATAATTTTTTTTTCACACAAATAGAGCTTTCTTTTGGTGGTATTTAATAACCACTTGGTTTTTTAAATAACAAAAAAAAAAGACAGAAAATTTTGACCAAAAAAAGGTTTTTCTTTGTTTCTGTTATAAAATTTCACAAATAAATAATTGTTCTTCATAAATTTAGGCTAAAATGTATTCTACTACATTTCTTTGGTGAAAATAACCCAAATTAGTGTATATTATTTAGTCTGTAGGAGAGTCCATACACTATGTTATACAGCTGAAAATCTATCAATCCTAATGTACTGACAGCCAATCTGATGTCTTGAGGCCTAAAAATATCAGGACAGCAAAGATATCCTCTAAATTACTCCTTTTTGGAAAGTAGACAGTCTACGGTATTTAGTAAGAGGCATGTTGAGTTTTTTGAGGTTGTAATTTTTCTGTAATTTTTTTTTTATTACATCTTTTTTTTTTTTTTTTAACCGCCTCCTACCCGCCATATAAGGTAATGACGGGCGCAAGGCGGTTCTCTCGTTCTGGGAGGATGTCATATGATGTCCTCCTATTCTAAACGCGCATGCGCTGCTCTGGAAGCGAGCAGCGCGGCGATCGGCGGTGCGCTGTGTCCCTCGGACACGGCGGATCACCGATCAACGGGAAGAGCCGAAGATGACGGCTCGGTCATGTGATTAGCTGTGTCCAATCACAGCTGATCGCATGTAAATAGGGAAATGTCGGTTATCGACATTTCTCTCCTCACGAGCTGTCACGCTGACAGCTCGAGAGGAGAGGAGAGACGGTAATCGGCATCCCTCAGAGGGGACATCTACACTGATCATCAGAGCAGTGATGATCAGTGTAGCCCCAGCAGTGCCACCTGTCAGTGTCAGCTGTCAGTGCTCATCCATGCCACCTGCCAGAACCCATCAGTGCCACATCAATGCCACATATCAGTGCCTACCAGTGCACATCAATGCCACATATCAGTGCCCATCTGAGCTACCTTTCAGTGCCACCTATCAGTGCCAGTCAGTGCCGCCTATTAGTGCCAGTCAGTGCCGCCTGTTAGTGCCAGTCAGTGCCGCCTATCAGTGACACCTAACAGTGCCAGTCAGTGCCGCCTGCCAGTGCCGTCTATCAATGCCAGTCAGTGCTGCCTATCAGTGCCACCTATCTGTGCCATATATGAGTGCTGCCTTTCAGTGCCCATCAGTGATGCCTGTCAATGCCCATCAGTGCCACCTACCAGTTCCTCCTCATCAGTGCCCAGAAGTGCCACCTATCAGTGTCCATCAGTGCAGCCTATCAGAGCCCATCACTGCAGCCTCATTAACGCACATCAGTGAAAGAGAAAAATCACTTATTCACAAAATTTTATAACAAAAACTAAAAAAGTTATTTTTTTCAAAATTTTCTGTGGTTTTTGGTTTATTTTGCAAAAAATAGAAAACCCAGAGGTGATTAAATACCACCAAAAAAGGTCTATCTGTCTAAATGATAAAATGATAAAAATTTCATATGGGTACAGTGTTGTATGACCGCGCAATTGTCATTCAAAGTGTGACAGCGCTGAAAGCTGAAAATTGACCTGGGCAGGAAAGGGGTAAGAGTGCCCTGTAGGCATTGTGACCAGAGTAATATAATGTTGCCATAGGAACATTGTACTATTCTGGGGAAGTGATCAGTGTTTATTTTTACACATTATTATTGCCTATAGCAGTAAATTTCACTACTGTAGGAAAGCATTTAACTGAATGAAATCCATTAATTCATTGTTTTTTTGTTGTGGTTAGATGTGGTTGGACACAGCTAATGGCATGACACAGATAAGCTGTGATTGGCCCAGTCTGTACATGTGATCACTGTGACCAATCACAGCTAACAACACAATTGTATACAATGGATGGCATGAAAGGAACCATCCATTTGTTTACAATTGTCATGTGACCTTGGTCGCAGTGGTCGTATGGTACTGGCAACAGGCAGGTACACAGATTGGTCATCGGCGGTGTCCTATGGACACAGCTGGTGACAGATCTCGCCACAGCGCGGTCCTGTGAGTGCACGCACGGTGGCAACCCGGGAGGATGTAATTCTTCTATAGGCCGGGCAGGAACTGGTTAAAATAATCAAATTTTGTTGCTTTGCCTCCTGAAATAAAGACAGACACAATTTTTGTTTTATCCAGCTGTATTTACTCAGTGCAACCTATAACATCTATGTAAAAGATATAACACCAACATGTAAGAAAAAAAAAAAATCAAAAACAGAATCACTGAGTTGGAAAAAGGATCACTCCCTTGTGTCAGTATTTTGTTGAATCTCCTTTTGCTTTAATTAAAGCCTTTAGTCTGTTGGGATATGTCTCTATTAACTTTGCACATCTAGACTTTGCAATATTTGCCCACTCTACTTTGCACTGCTCAAATACAGTTAAATTTAATGATGACCGTTTGTGGACTGCAATCTTCAAGTCATTCCACAGATTTTCAATGGGATTTAGGTCTGGGCTCTGACTACGCCATGCAAGGACATCCACCTTTTTCTCCTTCAACCACTGTGTGGTCATTTTTGCTGTGTGCTTTGGGTCATTCGTGTTGGAAGGTAACCTTCTTCCTATTGGCAACTTTCTGGCAGAGGGCAGCATATTTTTCTTAAGATTGCGGTGGTATTTTGCCCCAATCATATTTCCTTCTATCCTGACTAGTGCTCCCGTCCCTGCTGTAGAGAAGCACCCCATACCAGGATATTACCACCTCCATGCTTTACTGTAGGAATAGTGTTATTTGATGGTGAGCTGAATTGATTTTCTGCCAGACATATCATTTAATGTAGAGGCCAAATAATTAAATTTTAGTCTCATCTGACCAGATCACTATTTTGCATGTGGCTTCAGAATCCTCAAGGTGCGTTTTGGCAAAACTCAATGGTGACTGCATGTCTCTTGAGGAGTGGCTTTTTGTCTTGCAGCCCTCCCAGACAAGCCACATTTGTGGAGAATTTGTGATATTGTTGTCACATGCGCACAATTACCACTCTGTCATAAATTCCTGCAGCTGCTAAAGAGTTGCTGTAGGCCTCTTGGTAGTCTCTCTGACCAGTTTCCTCCTGGCTCTTTCATCCAGTTTGGAGCGACATCCTGATCCAGTGAGGGTCTGTGTTGTACCAAATACCTTCCACTTAATAATAGACTTCACTGTGCTTCTAGGCATTAATAAAGCCTTTGAAATGTTTTCCTGGTTTGTGCCTGTCCACAACTTTATCCTGGAGATCTTTTGACAGTGCCTTGCTACCCATAGATGATCATTGCTTCAATTGCAATACCAGGGACTGAAATGCTGCAGGAAAGCTGAAAGCCAAATGGCTTTGTGGTCCATTAAGAAGGTGATTAGCTACATCTGACTGAGTTTACAAGTAATTTGTAGGTGGAAGTGATCCTTTTTCCAACTCAGTGATTCTGTTTTGGAATTTTTAAAAACATTTTCTGACATGTTGGTGTTATATTTTTCACTTTGATGGTATAAGTTGAGTAAATACAGCTGGATAAAACAAAAATTATGTCTGTCTTCATTTCAGGCTGCAAAGCAACAAAATATGATTATTTTAAGGAAGGGGGGAGGGATGATTCTTTTCTATACCCACTGCATATGCATATATTTCAATACTGGCAATGAAGAAGAATGTTATGCTTGTATACACTTACATTCCTTTGTGTGAGGTATTTATGGAACATTTTACTCAGGATTTTTTTGTCAACAAGATCCTGGGTATAAACATTAGTAAATTCTTACGCCCGTGTGCAACTAGCCTTAGGGTACTTGCACATGGTACTTTGAATAGCAGTATTCCTGGCCAACATTTCTTGCACATATTGTGCGCATATTTGTGCGTGTTCCTGAGTAAGGTGTCATTAATAGAGCCATAAAAAAATGCATACACAAGTGTTTTTAATTACAGATCTGAACACAGCTGCATTGTTTTCAATGAACCCATTCACACAGGTGCATAAACATGCACTGCATTCAAATCCGTAACACAGAATCCAAAAGTTTATGTCTAAGAACATGCACTTTACGCACTTGTTCATATAAACAGATGTATACGCGTCTGTAAGTGTGTACATTAAGTCTAAACAAAGGAGAAAAGTAAATTATCATTATGCATGCTTATGCGTCTTTATGTGTTTAAATGCATCTATATGCAATAATCATTAGGCAGGAACTTTCTTCCTAGAAAACACGTGTAATGACATCAGTTCATTTTTTATGGCCATGTGAACGAAGCCTAAAATTCTAGCTCTCAGAATGGAATTTTAACTACTTCAAATCAACATTTTACATGCATATTTGCATGCGTATGTACATAAAATAATGACCGTCAACTCATATTTTTGTATTTTTTTTTTTACTCATCTATACACAGCACGTGTATATACGCCTGTGTGTACGCAGGGGCGTATTTACCACAAGGCAAACAAGGCATTTGCCTAGGGTGGCATTTTTCAGGGCGGGCAGCACCCTCCCAGGAAGAAGGGACATGTGGCAAAGGATATGTGGCATGGAACCACGTGGGATCCGAAAGAGGTTGTGGGATGCTTGAAGGTGTATGCAGAGCCTTACTCTCATTCCCGGGGATGTCCGGAGCTGTGAAGGTGAGTATCTTCCTCTTTGCTGCAGCGGGGGGTGTTAGTGGAATGCTCTCTCAGGTGAGGGGGGCAAGGGTGTTGTTGGTGGTCGGGGGGGGATAGGGGGTCTGGTGTTGGTCGGTGTCAGGCTCTCTCTGCCAGGGGGTGTCTGATTTTTGTGTTGTCTAGGGCATCAAAAAACCTAAATACACCAGTGTGTATGGGCACATTGGCTTAGTATTTAGGCAGCAGTGTGCAGGAAGCCTAAGGCCCCTTTCAGATTGGTGTTCCAATCAGGTCAACCTGTCAGTTTTTCAGGCAGACCTGAATGGAAGGTTCAGTCATCCCTATGGACAGGTGAGTCTAAATGGATTTGTGAACATTTCCACCCGCCTTCCCTTGGGTCCGATCAGGCCCACTAAAAATAAAAACAAGAGAGTACTCTTCCATTAGGCAGAGTGGATTGAAGGTAGCTGGGTGTAAATGGCTGCCAACAGAGCAGAGCGGGCTCTGCCCATGTCTGCTCTGTAGATACTGAGCGGACACAAATGTGCTATCCACCCACTCTGCTCTGATCAGCAGATCCCCCCTGGATAGGTCGTATATATATGATAAAGATGATCATAGTACCAAAAGTCTTATATAAGTTTAAATGTGCTCCCAATACAACTACCAAGGTTTTTTTTTGTGATCCTTAAAAAAATGATACTCAGATATATATGGGCCAATAAAAAACAAGAGTTAAATATGAAACTTTGAGCTATAATAAACTAAGAGGGGGACTATATTTGTCAGATTTTAGGTGATATTATATTTCAGTGTTATTTTCATGAATAGGAGATTGTATATACAATACACAGGGTAAAAGTTGGGTAAAAATGGAGAATATGATAAGTAAAGCACAATGAGATAGGATTATATTGTTACCACACGAGTTTCGCACATTGGATGAAGGCACTAGTAATTAGACACTGAATGTATTGAGGGTATGGGATGTATTACATAAGTAAATGGAATGGAAGTATAATTCACTTATGATTCCATTGGTGGGAACAACATTTTTCCCACCAGGGAATGAAAGTATTTCGGGAAAATGAAAAAAAGATAATAATACACGTTTGAAAGATATTGTAAATAATGGGGAATTATGTTCTTTTCACAATTTAAAAAATAAGAAAGAAACATTTTCAATATTAGATGAGTGGCAATATTATCAATTGAGACATTTTGTTGCAAAGCTCCCGCAACCATTACGGACAGACGAGGATATGTATACTTTAGAGCATATGTCTAGTTTAAACAAAATACAAAAACATGCTACTTCAAGAATCTATAGGATCCCTATGGAAATATATGGATCAGATTCTCAAGGGTTCATAGATAAGTGGGAAAAGGAGCTCGGAACAAAATGGAATGAGCAACAAAAAAATAAACTGTTCAGATTAACACATGGGGTGGTGAATATGAACACAGTCGAAATGAA